GCTCTGCTCTGGATGGAATCTGTAAGAGCATTAGCTTATGCTTGGGTACCGAACCCCATATGTAAGAACAGTATTCTTAAACTGGCTGTATCTGTGCTTTGTAGATCATCAGAAGCTGTTGGGGTGTAAAGTAGATTTTCGCACGAAACAAAATTCCGAATTTTTGTGAAGCAGGTTTCGCAATTGATCAGACATGATTTTCCCATGAAAGAGTATTGCTGAAGGAAATACCAAGCATAGATATGGAAAAGTTGGTGGGAATGTTGGTACCAGCCATCGTTATATCAGGCACACTGCCTTTTTAGAGAAAACGCAGCCTTGAGTTTTGGTGGCGTTGAATTCTACTAGCTTGATGTCGGTTGCCCAAGGTGTTATTTTAGCAAGATCCTCATTGTAAGTTCTTGCATGGTTTCCTGGGAAGAAATGGGAATTCTGGTAGAAAAAGCAATATGGAGATAGTACTTTAATCTGCAAAGCTGTTGGGAAGGGCAAGTGATTGCTCCCAACAGATCATTGATATGAAGTAGAAACAATGTTGAATGTTGGTGCCAAAATTGATCCTCATGAAACGCCGGAATTGATGGCAATGGTATCAGACGATAATCCGTCCCCCACCACATGGAACGATCTGCCTGAAAAAACTTGATAGAAGATGGCAAAGCTCTGGGGTGTTAAGCACGTGGTAAACCGTATAGGTATATGATGGTAGTTTGTTGAGAAGCCCTAGGTGCACACGGTCGAAAGCCTTCGATATATTCAACGCTACAGCTAGAGATTCCCCTTCTTGTTCTAATGAGGCATGTCATATTCAAGAGGCGTAGGCAAGTATGTCTCCAGTTGATCTTCGGTGGCGAAAGCCATATTGTCATCATAAATGATTCCAGAGCTCTCAAGATATTTGATGAGATCAATGTTGATGGCTTTCTCCATCACCTTCGAGATAACTGATAACAGGGCAATAGGCCTATAGTTGCTGGGCAGGCTTTTGTTTTCTTTCTTGGGAATTGGTTGGACTCTAGCTATTTTTTAGCAAGATGGAAAAATACCAGAGATGGTAAATAATTTGCAGAATATCGGTGTCAATTCTGGTGCACACTTTTTGAGTATGATGAAAGGAATGCGTCTGATATATATCGCTGACGAAAGACGATTTCGGGCATTAGACTTTCAACAGGTAGAATGTCTGGCGGCACTCTTCCCTGGCAATCTAAGGTTGAGTTTGCTGCGAACATTTCTGCAAACATGATGTTTGCTTTCTCTTGCGATTTTGTTGGCTAATGTGCCGTCGGCTTTGGAGTGGAAGTAATGAACTATTAGTGAAATTCCTTGCGACTGCTTTAGCGAGGAACCACCCAGGTAGCAGAGTGACGTCCATTTGACGTCATTTTTTGGTCATAAAATGACGAAGTGGACGTCCAAAAATGACGTCTGAGAGACCCTATAATGACGTCAAAATGTCACAGCCATATGACGTCATACTTAGACGTCATAATGACGTCGCAGAATGACCAATAAAGGACGAAATAAAAAAAATTTGAAGATTTATATATATATACGATTTTATTGGTACATGATAATACACCACAAACCTTTGATGACATTCATTTTGTAACTATACGGTGTGGTGACTTGGTTGATGGTCCTCCCGGGCGTCCTGTTGAATCCTAGCGCTATCGCTTCTACCTATGAATCTCTATATGACAATAGCGTTAGCTACTCGTATTTGTACCTAAAATTATGTAGCAAGCGTCGGCGAGATGTAAGCTGGATAAACTTATTTTTAGCTAAACTATCCATTTCTGAGAAATCCTCTGCAACAGGTCGATTTTATTTCCGATTTGCCACATTTGAAAGTAAGAATCATATATATACAGGGTGATCCACGTTTAAGTTAAGACGTCCGCGGCAATTTTTTCAATTGGAAACAATAATAACCTATAGAAGATACACTCAATTTTCGAAATATTCATGGAAATCTGAATTCAAAAATATATTACACATAGGGTTTGTATACAGTGTGTCCGTTATATTGAGTCATCTCGCGTGAAGTAAATAAAGTAGCCAATCAATGTACTTATAACCATACAATTCCTTGCTGAGGAATGTCCCAAAATAGGTCGATTTTTATCTCAAATTACCAACATTATTGAGAAAAAATTGGATATACAGGGTGATTCAAGTTTGAGTTACAACGTTCGCGACCATTTTTTCAAAGGAACACCCTATGAATTATTCGATTTTTGGAGTCTCTATGGAAAGCTGGATTCAAAAATATATGAGTTTGTATACAGTGCGTTCGTTGAATTAAGTTCTTTTGCGAAGTTGCGAATAAATTTGTTGAAAATTTAAAACATTTTTTTTTTCAGAGAATAATGCTCGAAGCTGTAGAATTTTATTTTCATTCAAGCTCCATCTCATATTGAATCAATATATACATAATGATTCGTGTAGGAGAAATTAACGTCATCTTTATATTTTAATGGCAATCCAATTTTACGAGAGAACTGAATTTAACGAACGACCTGTATACAAACCCTTTGTGTGATATAATACATTTGATTGCGAAAATTCAATTATATATATCCGTTTGAAAAATGTGTGGTTTACGTCATAATACAAACGTGTATCATCCTGTATATTTGATGATTCCTCCGTATAAATGTCGAATTAGAAATAAAAGCCTCTCCTGTTCTCTCAGAAATATATAAGATAGATAGATATTGGATAATGATAAATTTATCCACTACTTCACGAGAGCATCTGATTTATTGGACGCACTTACCTATACAATCCACATGATTGTGTTAAACATTTTCGAATTCCGCTTCCCATGGTTATTCCAAAGATTGAGTAATATATATAAGGTGCTCTTTTTTAAAAAAAATTGTCGTTATGTCGTTAATTCAAACGTGGATCACCATGTATGTATATTCAATTTTTCTCATAAATATATGGCAAATTGAGAATGAAAATCGACCGTTTTCAGCAGATTCCTCGAAAATGCATAATTTGGCTGAAAATGCATTTGTTCATCAGTACTCACGAAAACACTGTATATACAAACACAAATTTAGTACGTACAATTAACAAACGATGAAGAAGTAAGAAAGCGACTGAATTTTCTTATTTGGTCGAATATACGACTTTGTAGGGACGTCATTAAGACGTCCAATATTGAACGTCAATAAGACGTCATGAAATATGACGTCATTTTTAGGTCTATTTGAAGTCGAGGACGTCATTGACCGAAAATGACCTGAAAAAGACGTCATTATGACGTCATTCCCCTAACCTGTGCTACCTGGGCAGAACGAAAGGGAGCCATTGGAACAATCTATGAGTTTTGACCTTATTTTGGCATTGTACGATTCTTTAACTTACCTAAGTTTTGTGTTTTGTTAGTAAATTAGTGTTGGTATTGTTTTTGTCCACTTCATGGAGAAATCAAAAGAAATATTCCTTCAATCGGAAGTTCTTTATATGAAAAATCCATAGCCCACTATTGAAATTCAATGTTTTAGTGATTTTGGTAATTTTTGTAAATTTCATATTTTTACATTATGTATCATTTTGATCAAAAAAAAAGGAATTCAATGAGCTTGAAAAATACAGGGTGTTCCGTTTAAATGATCATAAGTTTGATTCGTATCTCCAAAACCAATTTGAGTGCGCCACTGGATTCTGCGAAAAATTCTCGATGGGATATAAGATTTTTATTTGACAATTTCACCGAGAAACTTCGTAGATATGAAGGGGGTACAAAAAGTATAAATATTCAAAATCGCCCTGCATTTCATGAACGGAATAAACAGCTATGCAAAAACCTGATAGAATGGTCTATCTCCAAAGATAACTGGGATATCACGCAAAAGCATCGAAAATGGGACACACTGTAGATATAGCTACAACAAAACATATAAGAAAACACTGTATAATCCCATCAGATATTTAGGCATTGGATTTAATGAGCACAAACATATTTTGAATGTCCAATCAATCCTGCTACTTATTGAATCTTATTGTTTGTAAAAATTGATGGTAAAGTTCCACATGGGAGATAAACACCTCGGTAAACACTCAAGCCTAATCAAGTGAAGAGTTTTGTATTAATTCACAGAAGAAACATATCATTTTTGCTACCTAGTAAAATCTTGGGAAAATTGATATTGACAGAGACCCCAAGGCCTCAAGCATCAGTAGAACAAACTGGTGATAATGTGAATGTTAGCTGTCATTATTATATCATTCCCAATCTTTTTTGAGCATGTGAAGTGAATTCACTCTTCAACTTCTTAATACAAAATTCGTAGGAAATAATAATAATAAAATAATAATTTGAATATAAAAAGTTGGAGTCATTTCCAGTGAGATAGGACTACATAATTCAAGATATATGTATGCATTTACACTAGATTTTATGTGTTCAAAGAGTGTAGGATATACAGGGTGTCAATTAATAATGGAGTGCAGTACATACAATAATGTGTGAATCCACGGGTGATTTTGAGAAGAAAAGTTTTTATCAACATGTCCCAAACCTCTTAGTTTTCCATCTACAGGTTCTTAATATTAGAGGCATACCAACAGTTTTTTGTATCAAAACATATTCAATATCAGGCATAGGCTTGGGCATACATGAACATCACTGGTAGAAGTAAAAGATAGATTTTTTTCTCAAAATAAAATGTTTCCACTTATGCCCACTGAATTTTAATAAAATACATACCATAACAAATTTCAAGAGAAAATGGAAAGTCCTATGAAAGCAAGTCTAGAAACCAAAGTTGCTTCAAAATAAATGAGGATTTGAAAAATAATTCTGGTTTTTAGAAAAATCAGTGGCGTACCACTTTTTTCTTCAAATATTGTCAGTTCAAACCCCCTATGGACGTCAATGTGAAAAATTTGAAAAATCTTTCACTTAAAACAATGCTCCTTAATGATGAAAACGTGTTCACAAAATTTCATGAAGATATCTGAGTGATAAAAAATTATGGTGAAAAATAAATTTTTTTCTTGAAATTGTAACACCCTGATGCTCAAAAACTGAGTGGATTAGGACATAATTATGTTGATTTAAACTTTTCTTCTTGAAATTACCTTATTATTAGCATTCAATTAGTGAACATCTTGTATATTGAGTTAAATGAAAATCCTGTAGTTTTAAAGGAAACAATCCTTCAATAATTTACAATCAACAATATCACAAAAACTCCTGAAGAGTTGAAATTCAATTTCACTAATTTTCATCAACTCAAGTCAAATGTAACAGGATCACTTCTGATATCCAAATCTGGTCTAATTTCTTGTAGTAACAAACAAGTTAATTCATAGGTAGTTGATCTCAAAAAATCATCTAAATATAGAATTTTCAATTTTTCCATTTTATACAGTGCCCCTATGCCCTTATCTGAAATATTTGAACAATTTCTGAGGTCTAGATATAACAAACTATGACTAAATATATTACTAATCATATCTAAGCACCAATCATCCATATGCTCACAACCATTTAGACTGAGCCATTCCACATTCTTCAAGCCTCTCAAGTTCACCAAACCTTCATAGTGAAGTTTCATGTCAGCACAATCAATTGCTTGCAGGAACTTGTCTTCATCAAAAAACCTAGGGAGAGTATATTCATTCATCTCATTAGCTTTGATCCAGACATCTTCATCAAAAAACTTTATAGCTCCTCCGCGATGTACAATAAAATGTGCAGCAGCCAATTCATTTCCCAAGGTTTGATTTCTCTCAGGTATGTATGACTGAAGAATAATTTCCTTGAGTTCAGTTTTATTTGCCCACCACTTCTTTATTCCTGAGGGTGAGAGATCAATGGGTGTCTGTAATCTTTGGAGCAGCCTTCTTTTACTATCCTCTTTGTAAAACGTTCTCAAGAAACTATAATGCTCGCCTTCTTTCTGGTGCCACGGGGTTCTCCATTTCAGTTTATCTATTTCCTTTTTATCATAAACTCTTGGCATCACTTCATCATCTTGTGGAATAATTTTTCTGGGTGAATTTGTATCCCTATCACTGGATAACTTGCAAATGCATTGTTTTAATACTGGCTGGTGACTGATACGTATATTTTTGTACAGATTTAACATACTGATACTGATACTACTATACTTTTTATTCTGATCTCAGATTCTGATTCTCGAGTCTCGACAATCTCGACATAACCAAAAAGTGAAAGACTTCCGAAAGTGTCAAAGTCAAACTTGACAAAAGTGACGTGCGTTTCAGGCCAGGACGGTAACGTGATATTTGGTATCGGCTTCATTCTGTCAAAGATTACTGAATACTTCATCTTCTGTAGCCTATGATTCGGTTCTGAGGGAGAAATGTTACGTGTATGTGACCGATAATATAATTATTCAAAAATGCAATGATGCTTTCGTCGTTCACTTTGAGGAATTCCAGTGTATAAATATAAAACTGCTATGTTCATTACCTGCTCAAATGAAGTCAACATCCCTCTCTACAGCCTTGACTACTTGCCTTGACTAGTGCCCTTATAGTGGATTTCATTGGTAAAACCAGTGCGCACTCAGTGTATACATTTCTCTCAATACCGCACCAGTTCATGCCCAATGGAAAACGCTATTGGTTGTGGGTATGACGTCACTTGACCTCGATGTTTGAAAGATTCGCTGGTATTTATGCTATTTCTCGGCAAGTTTGAGGCAATGCAATTTTCTCGCAATGACATTGAGATATATCTGTCATATTTTCTTGTTCATATTCACTATTTCCTGGTTTTTTGATCCTTCAATAGGTCGCGTGCACGAAGACCGACCCTGGAGGCAAAATATCGAAACACAACCTCATTCTTCTGTGAATTATTGAAACACAACCTCACTTTTTTATTTGGTTACAGAGGAATCAAAAGGTCATTAATTCAAGCATGCCTTCGCATTGTGCTGTTGTACAATGCACAAAAAATGCAGCAAGAGACTAGGGAATATGATTTTTCAGGTAAATAGTAATCTCACATAGTTAGCATTATGAAATGTTGTCATTCCTTATTAAAATTCCTTCTGCCTTCTGCCCTTTCTGCAATACAAGCTAATGCTGCTAATAGATTGAAAATGTCTACAACACACACGATCGTCAGCATGTCAGACCAGTCCTACCGATTGATTGCATGAATCCGATCTTCTTGCATTATTCTAGAAATTTCAGGTATATTTCTATTAGCTGATCCTATTGCAGATGGAATTCCGATGAGAAATCAGAGAAATAACCAAATTTCAAAAATGTAAACTATGTGAGTGACTATAGTAGGTACTTACTTTTGAATCATAATGTAGCATCCGTATTGCTTCATCTTCCGCTGCAGTTTTTGTGCATTTTACAACAGCACAATGTGATGGCATTTGCGAATTGATGAATAGCGGAAAAATACGATTCATATATGCCAAAATAATTGTGGAAAACTATTTCGATCAATTGTAAACAAATATGTTTTGCCTCCAGGGTCGGTCATCTGACAGTTCTTGCACGCGACCTATGTATATTTTGAGGTTATTTGGTGTTTCAGGCCACGTTATGGAGAAAATTTGTATTTTATCAAGATGCTACGATGAATATTACTAAAAATTCTACTAAACTTGCCTTGAAATTGCAGGAAAAATAGGACTGGTTCTATTACGAAACTTGCATGAAACTTGACGTGAAATATCATAGACGCATGCGCATTGTTCGATTCAAAATTGCTTTGCATAGCATAATGTACGGCGCCCAATAATCTGTGGCTAGACGCTAGTTTTCAGGGTCCGCTCACTACAGCCTGTTTTTTTTATCGCTTGGAGCTCACGAAAGGGAATAACTATAATGTTCAAAGAACATCGTGCGTTCCTAGGGAGGATAGGGACAGGTGGTAGGTATAGGAATTTTTTTGAACTCCTGGAGATTATATGTTGTTGGGAATACTTCCACAGGCAATGAATTCCAGAGCCTAGCCGTTCTATGGATGAAGAAGTCTTGATAAAGTGCTGTTCGACATATTTCGAGATTGACAACGAAAGGATGTGCTGACTGGGCTTGTTTAGTTCGTCTGACTGGTATGGCTAGTGAAGGGATGATAGCAGAGATTTCCGAAGAACATTTCCCGTGGAAGTATCGATAGAAAAGTGAAAAGTCGCCGACCTTTCTACGGTGTTTTAATGATGTCAAAGAGTGAGTGAGTGTGGCGTCACCCACCAGGCGAATGACTCCTGCGCTTTGTAGATCATGAGAAGCTGTTGAGGTGTAAAGTAGCTTTTCGCACGGAATAAGAATCCGAGTTGTTGTGAAGCAGCTAGCTTTTGCGATGGATCTGACATGATTATCCCATGGAAGGGTGTTGCTGATGGGAATACCGAGCATAGATATGGTGGGCTTGGTGGGGATGGTGTAGCCAGACATTACAATATCGGGCATACTGAGTTCCGCCTTTCTAGAGAAAATACAGGCTTGAGTTTTGGTGGCGTTGAATTCAACTAGGTTGTTGGTTCTTCAGGCTGTGATTTCAGCAAGATCTTCATTGGCAGCATTGACCTGCCTGCGCCGTGAGTTCTTAGTTTCCTGGGAAGAAATGGGAATTCTGGAAGAGAACGCAGTATGGAGGGTACTATCATCTGCAAAGCTATGGATGGGGCAAGTTGTTACTCCCAACAGATCATTAATATGAAGAAGGAATAATGTTGGTGCCAAAATTGATCCTTGTGGAACACCGGAATTGATGCCAAGTTGATTTTGTTCTCATAATGCCCTGTTCGTTTGGAAAGCTCAACATACTCAAAAAATCAAGGAGATCACGTTATCTGACGTCACTGATTTGATGAGTAATAATTTTTCAATCTGAATTAACTGAAATATTCCACTAGTTCTTTCGAATGACGTTCATTATGTACAATTAATAGATATGCCTATCAATGCATGTGAACTGATTCAGTTCAGGTGTGAAATGTGTCAGTTAGTTCAGAATGAAAGAATATATCACTATATTTGTTTTGATTTGATATTGATTGGAGCTTATGTTGATCGAGAGAAAAGAATGAGTGATTAAAATGGTAAAACCGTTGGCATTATTAGAGAATGATGTCTGAATTCCTCGGCAATGTCACCAATTCTTTTTTTGCCATATTCACACATTATTGTTGCATTTTTCGTTCGCCATTTTCCATATTTTCATATGTCATCCAACTTGATCAATCTAATTCGATTTTTGTGCTCCCTAAAAATTCGCGGAGCAAATGAATCCTGCTTCAAGTGATCTATGACAACTAACTGTCATACTGTCAACGAACATCTCTTCTGACGAACCATCACTTTTTAGCAGGTTGAGCTTGACAAATGAACAGGCCTACAGTTGTCTCTGTTCATGGCAAGATGTTAACAGAGATAGTAATAGAAAAAAATAAAGTTCAGAAGGTATGGCAAGCACAAACGAACAGGCCAGTTGTGATTTGTTTGGAATTTATAATTTTCTATCGTTTCTGACCAATGATGTGATATCTGACGAGTGTCTGACATTTTCATATGTCATATATGTTTTCAATTCAAAAATTCAAATCTTCTTGTCAAAATATTAGGTTCGTTAGTTTATTTTCAAACAAATATTGAATGTGAAGAAGTGTGAAATGTTCGTTCATTTATAAGATTTAAGAAAATATATACTATATACTAATTGTGTTTCGAATTATAATAACACATGATGGTTCGACACTATTCCTTGAAAGGTTTTTATGAAACAGAGAGAACTGTGGGATGTGGTGGTTTTGCAAAAGTAAAATTGGCTACTCATGTAGCTACAGGAGAAAAAGTCGCCATCAAAATAATGGATAAAGCATTATTAGGAGCTGATTTGGCAAGAGTTGAAACTGAACTAGGAGCGCTAAAAACTGTATGCCATGAACATGTATGTAAACTCTATCAGGTTAGTATAAAAACAGATTAGTCATGACATTGATCAAACATTTCTATAAGTAGTTTGATCATAAATTCATATCCACTACTGTAGTAGTAAAAAATCATGAACATTTCTTCATTGTTTAAGGTTATAGAAACTGACACACATTTCTTCATAATCATGGAATATTGTTCAGGAGGAGAACTTTTTGACCACATAGTAGAGAAGAATCGTTTAACAGAATCAGAAAGTAGGATGTTCTTCAGACAGATAGTTTCTGCAGTTGCATATTTACATAGTCTTGGTTATGCACATAGGGATCTAAAACCTGTAGGTACCCATATACATTTATGATGCTATGTTTTTTATCAGATATTTGGTACCAAATTTAAAACTTTTTCGATTCAACTCTTGAATGATCTGATTGTTTGATGGTTTGTTTTAGGAGAATATATTACTGGATAAATACCAAAACTTGAAATTGATAGATTTCGGACTATGTGCAAAACCTGAGGGTGGTATAAACAATCTGTTGCAAACTTCTTGTGGATCTCCTACATATGCTGCACCTGAGTTGGTATTGGGGAAGCAGTATTTGGGAACTGAAGTTGATATATGGGCCATGGGTGTACTGCTCTACACACTTCTTGTGGGTGCATTGCCATTTGATGACAATACAATTGATTGTTTGTATAGAAAAATATTGGTGAGTTATAAAATTCATTCACAGTGTAGAAAAATATCTGAATAATCTAAAGGATCTTAGAGAATACTGAAACTACCACCACCACCACTATAAACATGCACAAATATATACTTTTTCACTAGTACCAATTTTCTCTGTTCATGTGTTTTTCATATTTTTTTCCATATTATTCCATTTTATCCTTTCTGACTCTGAAATATCTGTTATTAGTGTAATTATACCTACTTTTTGAACTGGATAATTTCCATTTAAGATGTATAAATATCATTGTTGTACCATATATAAAAATTATTGATATTGTCACCATGAGGAAGAAAATGGTTGGCACAAAACAAGCCATTTGCACTTAGGTTGCCCTCCATTTTTTTCCAAATGGTCTAAATATAAACATTATACATATATGTATCATAGTCATTTGAAATGAATAAATGAATAAATGAAATATCCTATCATGAATATATTGCCATCTCATATTTATAGGGTTTTAGTTTAGGAGGTAAATCTCCTATAGCCAACTGATGATTGCATAATCAAAAAACATTTTAGGGAGAACATACTAATGAGATGTTTATCATTGCTATACTTCCCATACATCTATTTTAAAATATTATTGATTGTGAAAACCAAATCAGGTTGCCATAAGAAGACATCTAAGAAAATAATGAAGCCAAATGATTTCATATACACTAGAGTCATTGAATGGTATTATATTAGTTATTCAACTAATATATTCAGGAATGGAAAAATGAGCACCCAGCTATGATTGAAAAATGAAGGAAATTTCTATGAAAAATGCATTTTTATAAGCTGAAAAATGCAACCCTTTTAAAAATATAATAACCTAAAGGCTGTTATGAATGACCCCATATGTTATAACACTTCAGAATCTGTATTAAATGGGCAACTTTTTCTGATAGTTGGTGATCTTTGTGGGGTAGTTTCAAAATCTGCCAGCTGCATTGAAAAATCAACTGAATTATTTTATTCAACAAAACTAGAACAACAACATGTTTCTCAATTGATAGGAAGTAACAGGTAATAAAAAATATTTCTTGGGGAAGGGTCATCCCTGGGGATTGAATTTGTAAAAGGAAATAATTATTTTTTAGTAAACAAACTACATGATTTTAGGGAGGAATGAAAAAATTAATAACTTTCAAACCATCAATAATTGAGTAACCACATATTTGGTTAGTTTTTATGGAACCTTACCCCCTCCCTACCACCCCACTCATTTTGATCCTTTTTATCCTTTGTCAATCCATCAAATCATGCATTCTTGCAGTATTTCAATATTATTGTTGAGATTTTCTTTGTAAACTCTATTGTCATAATATGACTGAGCACAGTTATAAGTTATAATCATTCAAAGAAATGTGAGGAAACATGAAATTTCACTAAATGCAATTCTCTTTCTCAAAATTATAGGTGTAATATAGTTTCATTTGAACTGAATTCAAGCATTGTTATATTATAGACACACAGTAAGTAAATACAACTTCAGCAGTGACTTTCAAGATGATAAAATACTGTGCTTAAATTTAATGATTCAAATTCATAACTCATATTCCTTCTAATCTGGCCGATAGATATTGGATTTAGGTAACAAATCTATCTGAAAAACATATTCCACTTCTGGTAATAACCCATAAATTTGTTTTGTGAGGCTCCAATGTACTCCGAGTCGGTGATACAATCTTTCGTTTTCCTCCCTTAGTAACTCTTTCACTAGATGTTTTGTGCGTTTATTCACAATGAGTGCTGGCCACAGCGAAAACCCAAGACTGCAACAACAACATACACATCCGCACAGGAGAATTTTCATGTTAAGCGACAGATTTCTTCTTAGGATTTTGTTGATTTTGTGTATTGTGCTTCTATATTCATCAGGGGAAACGACAGATTGAAGCTTGCTAGGCAAATTCGTGCTGAAGTGATTGTTCAACCCAAAAATTGTCATGTTACCATTTGGTCTTATGATGATTTGGTGGTTTTGTGAGGAATGTGACATGCTCAAACATTTTTTGAGATGAAATGACATCCACATAATTCCATAGTGATGGTTTCAGACATTTGTACATGGTGTCCTTTGTATGAGAGTGAATTTTGGATTAGTTTTCATCAAGAAAAACAAAAATTATACCTTATATCCTGGATGGTTGTGTTCAGGAGTTTTTGCTATATTGGAGAAAAAATATTAGATATATATATATATATATATAGAAAGTTGTACAGTTTGAAATATACTACATGATCATTTGCATCAGAAGACCTGAACATTTTATTTTATACTGAAACTATTACATGAAGGTATTCAGGGTGATCCAACAAAAACTTAACACCCCGATTTTAGGGCTTCAAAATGAAAATTAAAAAAAATGCTCCAACCCTTTGATTTCTGATTCAAGGGGGAATGATTTGTCTGCTTTCTTTATGGCCGTAACTTCCAGGGGAAAGCACAACCCACGGATTTTGAATAGGGTTGAGGAATGTTGGGATACCTCATTTAAAAGATTTCATCCAGTACTATCAGACCCGATAATTTCCTGTAAAAATTTTCATCCAGAACGAAATGAGAGGTAAAATAGTGGGAGAGGCAATGTCGAAATTACCTTGAAAATATTATTGTTATTAAAGCCTATATGTTGTTATTGAAATTATTAAAGAATGTTACTGAGATACAGAGTGTTCAAGGGGAAGATTTTATTTTAAAATTTCTCAATTACTTTGTGAATTTAAACAACATGAGCATGAACATTTGTAGTTCCTAATTTCCTGATATGATAAATAGGAATTTGTGACTCATTTTATGTTATTCACATCATATAATATATTTTCTGTGTTGTGGACACGATGTACATTGAATATGAAGTGCTTAAATGAAAAATGGTATTTGGAAACCAATATTGTTTTTGTTCAAGGAATAAATGGTTAATGGATTGACCTCCTTTTAGCGGACACCCTGTATATTGTATAGCAAGGGTACTATTTAATATCATAGTTTTGCCTATGAAGAAATCAAATCTCAAGATAAAACATTCCATGATGTCCAGATTTCAGAATACTATAGGTATTTAAAAAAGTTTCTGAAACTCTACCAAGCCGTTATGAAATTATGAATTATGCCAACCTATAGTGAAACACCTTTTATAGTAATCTAATTTGATATCTCCTATGTCCTATAGCCAGTAAAGTGCTCGAGTGACAACATTTTGTATTGTATTGTAGTATACTGTCTATATAAATACTTGTCTTTGTGTGTTAACTTTTAGAGGTGAAGTTTTTGAAATTTCGTTCTTAAACTGTAACGAATCTGTGTCCTTGACAATATCAATCTGTAAAATATTGTAGCACTGCTCATTCTACATATTACTATTCTAAAGTTCTACCTACATCATCATGACTTGTCACAAACATCTCAAAATTTGTAGTGTGATCTAATAAATCTGTTCTATTCAATTATATCCTATGCCTTCTGTTTTTCTTCTTTAGGCAGGTAGATATGAAGAACCACATTTCCTGTCTCTAGAAAGCAAACGGTTGATAAGATCAATGCTCCAAGTAGATCCTAAAAACAGGATCACCATCAAAGAACTTCTCAATCATCCATGGCTCACTCTTGGGATTTTGGATCCAGTGGAAATTAAATCTGAAAATGTTATATATCAAGATCATGAATGCTTAGAAGTTATGGCATGTTATAATCAAGTGAAAAAAGAGGCTATGTGGGATTATTTGAAGCAGAGGAAATATGATTACCATACTGCAACATACTTGCTGTTGTTGTCCAGGAAAAAAAGAGGCTCCAGTCTGAAATTGAACAGTTCTGCAACCAAAGTAGATATACCTAATAAGGTAATAAGTTGTAATATTCTCCAGGATAATGAATCATCCTGAATATTTTTCAATTTTAGGGTACAATAATCAGAAGAAAACCAGTATTGAGGAATTTGAACATCATTCAGAGCAGGTCAGATGATGTTGTGGGAGATAATCAAATGGTGGAAACTCCTACTACACCTTCAGAAACAACAAATTTGCAAATGTTTTTCAATGACAGAACTCCAGACAACAAACCAGTTAAGAAGTCTGGCTTCATTGAACCTGATAAACCTTCTAGTGTCCGAAAGCCACACAAAAGGTATAGGAGTCCAGGACCTGATGACAGTTCTCCAGGTTAGTTTGGTTTGTCCATTTGTGGGTTCACTAACGTTCTTCTTGAGGTCTTCTTGTGTTAATATACTCTTAATGCTTCAAAAACTCTTTCCATCATCTGAAATATTCAATTTTGAATATCAAATTTCTTTTTGGGGAAGTACAAATACAAGCATGAGTATTTCATGTTCAAAATCACTGATGAAATCACAAAAATGAAGCAATGAAGTGCAATTTCAATCTATGTCATGTGAAACCTTCAGTAAATTTTAATGTATATGTGTGATCTCAATACATATGGTGTTACATAAATTTTGCCAGGAAGAAATCAAAGTATCAAATTGATCTTACAATCTTACATCTTTGTTGGAATTAAAAAAAATGGCTGCTTCAAGATGGCGGACAAGATTTGGTCCGATTCCATTCAAAATTGGTGAGAGGGGGTTTTTGAGGTCGGAGATCATGATTTTTTAAGTTATAATTTATAAATTCAAGATGGCGGCGAACTTGGAGTTTGTTTCCACTGCCTGGAATTTATTGGATAACATTTTTAGTATTGAAAAGAATGACAAATTTTCAGAATAATAAATTGAGTTGAATGAGATTGTTCTGAACAAATCAAGCTTCAGACAAGATGTACTGAAGAATAAAAATATTTTCACTGGTAATTGGGCCATTCTTTTGGGTAACATGAAAAAATACCTTACAGGCATTCCTTTCAAGTAGCAACTGTAAATTTTGAATAAAAAAATCAATTGATAGATGGCTTGGTTTGTTCAGATTACTTATGGATTGGAAAAATCGGAGACAGTTGCTATGTGTTAAGGGTGATCCAGGCACATAAAATGCAGAATACCCACCATTTCTGAGGATATTTGAAAATTTGCACAATATGTGAACAATTTTCAGTTCAATAATCAGAAACCTGATGAGATTGGACTATCTTATGGTCATATCAAGAAAATGAAATATATTTAGTGGTGGGACGTACACTCGCAAAATCAATAGTCGATTATCCACAGTTTTTATAGAATAATAGACCATTTGATTTGTATAATATGATCAACATGAATCAACCTCACTTACTGTTTTGTTGTCTTCAAGAGATGAGGGAGGAATTGTGGAAATTGTACATGCCGGAGACGAGAATTTGATCACTTTATATCCAAACAATCTTCATGTAAAAATTATGAGGATGCCAAAATTCTCCAAAGTGAAAAACTAGTTAACAAATATTGGGGAACTGGTGACTGAAAGTGTCTCTGAGTTTCTCAGTTGCAATATTACAATAATCAATTTAAACTTCCAAATGAACAAAGCATTCAATCAACTTGTTTCCCACTAGTGCCTAGACAGCCTCTCCAACATGTGAACTTGTTCAAAAACATGGTCATTGCCTTTATTGAACTAATTTGGAGTCCTTGATCAATGAAATGAAAATTTAATATTTTCAAAGACCTCTTTTCACGGATTAGTGATTGGGTTTTCTTAATTCAGAATTTTTCATTCTACGCCCTGTATGATGAATATCAATTTGTCATACATTAATCTATGGCTTCGTCAATGCTTTTCAATTTCCGTGGGTTGTGCCATCTATGAGAGAATCACTGAAGTATTGTCTTCCACCTCATATTCAGTCATTTTCAAATTGTTTACATTCAATGGATATAATTATATATGGTTTAGTGGTGCCGTGCTCTGCTCACACCTTATTACAGATAAGAAATCATCAAATGTTGGAATGTGTTCTTCTCCCATGTATCAAATCAGTAGGCATTAGGTAGGTACAATAGAAATCATCCATTTCTTGCATTTTTTATTTCAAATGTAAGTAATTATTTTTCTAGAAACTGAAATATTTTTTTCCAATAAGAATGAAGGTGCCTGTGAGGAGTTTACTGAACTTGATAGTTTATAAAAAATGTTACTAGTCCCTGACTGGGTTATTCATGTTTTTCTGTACTCCATGTAATATGAAAGCATATGAAAGTGAACGTATATTTTTACAGAATCCTATAATAATATATATTCTTGTGTGCCTGTATAATAGAATAAAAATACATAAAGCTTCCTGCAAGTTACGGCTTGGGATTAAGCCAGAAGCTCGTGAACTTGAACAATAGATGTCGCCAAAGAGGTACAGAAGAAAGACGGCTTCAGGGTTCTAGTTATCAAGTTAGAATATAGATAGCATTATTTGTGTTGTGGGTATGAATTGAGCAAAAAATTACAAAAGTATGTCCACAACGGTGATTTTTTTTTTACATTTTTTTCACATTGTTCAGAAGGCAGGAGATGATATACTTGGAAATGAGAATATCTCCTCATTGAGGATGGAAACACCAGGAAAAAAACAAACTTCAATGAAAAACTATGCCTCTTTATCCGTATATCTCCGTGAAAGAGTTGACTGTTTATACATTGAATACGAATTCCAGTTGTTCTAGAGAAGCAGAAATGTGCAATATATCTAGGAATCAGATCATATACTATTGAAGGAGCAGAGAAATAGTTGCAAAATATGATATTTAATGATAGTAAGATTACAAATATTAGACATAATTAAGAACTTCTTATATATGGCTGAAAAAAATCCATGATAATAAGCGAATTTTGAGTATTCACTTGAATATGATTTCTTTAAAAATTCATCCTCAACCCAGCCAACTAGATGACGATTCATTGACTTTTGTTTTGTTTTGTCATAGCCAGTAGGTGACCAAGGTCATGAGTTGATGTCATATGACGTGAATAAGTCACATTGAATGACTTCATATTACTCACGTTTGTTTACGCCAGTTACCATCCTCCTATAATTGGTAGGTACTATGGGGTCGTCGAAATGACGTCTATATTTTGGTCATCAGTCATGAAAATAGTTTTTTTTTCAATTCATTGTACCAGTATTTAACCTGACGAAGCTACTTTGTGAGCGAAACATATCGTGTGTTTGAGAGTTTTGTGGAAATCTAATCGTTTGTGAAGTTTTTACATTTACCATGGGGCATGGATTTCCATCAAGTAACGGTCGAGTCAATTCAAAATTTTGTTTTCTGATTTGTTACTTTAATATGTAGTGGACAATTTTCATCAACGTTCGTCTTGAATAAATAATGTCTTGAGATACAGGGTGTCAAAAGTACGGAAAAAAATCTTGAGTTCAAATTCCAGAGGCATACCTGCTCAAAGTAAAATAGAGTTCGTTCCTATACTGATAGTGAAATGAATCGCCTTATACAAACAAAACAAACATTCTCATAAAAAAATAATCATATTCCTACTTCTCAATTCAAAAACACTCGCAAACATCACAAAATACAGTTATATAGGAACTCATAAGACTTGAGTATATAAAAGATAGGAACGAATAGTAAAAATGAACAACAGAAATACAAAACAAATACAAAAATTGAACGCTAGAAACAAACTGTTATAACAGAAGTATATAAACAATTGAATATGATCTGAATCAGATAAAGTATTGTTCATACATACATGTACATTTATAAGTCATTTTGTAAAATTAATAAACAGAGCCTTCCAAAATATTCCATTTATAAGTGATTGTGATGAACTAAAGATTAATAATAATATAGGAGATTATAATGATAAATAAGTGTGAACATATTCTTCAGAAGGTTATACAATGTTTCATTGGTCGGGCGCTTTGGCCAAGTTTGAAGTTCGCAAGATAGCCGTTCCCGATGCGAAGGTACTGTCGGTTCGAATCCGGCTATGGGCTGAGCATTTTTCTTTAAAATGTGTGATTCATATTTGTGATCCTGGCAGCACCTCGATGCCCTAGAAGTGGTTCGCATTCCACTATAAGCTGTAGGTCCCGCTCTTCCTAACCTCGCAGAAGTTTCGACTTATGGGGAGTTGGCTCCCAACTTTGAAGCAGCGATATACAAATTTCACAAATTTATAAAAAAATTTGCAAAACAGGAGATCTACTGAAAATTCAGTAGGACTGGCAACCCTGCAGCGGACGAGAAGTGTTTGCGGACGAAAAGTTAGTGTTTGCGGACGTTAAGTACTTGCATTCGGAAATAGTCGGTTTTTCGTTCGGAAATTAGAATATATAATGTGATTTTTTGTAGGGGTCGACGAAAAAATAGATTTATCTGTATTCTAATATCATTATGAGTGTCTATCTTCCGAATTTTCGGCGCCATTACTTCCTCAATTCGCATAATCCCAAACAATAAAAGTAAATCTTGTCGCGCGCAGGTATAATAGCGTCCGTTATAAGAAAAATAAATTGCTCCTAAGCGTGTAAGGGGTTCGAGTGGCAAAAGTTAAAACGGCGATATTTCAGAGAGCAGGACCGGGTGAGGAATCATTCCCCGGGGACCGCTTGCAGAGCTTCGGCGATATTTTCTAGCACTTTCTTATTAGAACACTTGTGCAAAGTTGGACTAATTTAAGAGTTCGGAGCCATAAAGAAGGAGGTAACAACCCTTGAAGGGCCGGACACTGATGTACACATCTGCACCGGCAAGATGCCGCCAAGATTGTTGGCAATCAAAGTTTTAAGTGCTTATCTTTCCTGTTTAGGATTAGGTTCAAAGATTTAATAAGGAGTACAGATTACTTTCTGTTCCTCATTTCACCTTCAATTTATTTAGTGCCCCTCTTTTTCAGGTAAAATGAGCAGTAGTTAATAGATATTGTTCAGCAATAATTACAGGGTGTCCCTAAAAGGTCTTTTCAGAAACTTACCACATATTCCTCAGAGCAAAGCAATTCGATACAAGCAAAGTTACCTCAGTACAAAGTTGCTCAGTTTGGGCGCTAGTTTTTAATCTATAACTTTCATTGCAAAATGTCACTCAAATTTGGTACGTTATTGGAATAGCTATTAATATACAAGGTGTTTTTGAAATAAGTGCACATATTCTGCACATTAATATGATACAGTCAAAGGAATATTCCCATGATATCAGATTTTTTCTAATTTTTCTAATAAACGAGAAATTTCATCCCAAAAATTGAACAAAATACGAGAAAAAATCAAGTACGCCACTTTCAAACAATTTAAATGATTGAATTCCGCGTGATTGTGCCTACCGCATGGAAATTTGAACAGAGGGGACGTCAGATTTGCTACAGTGTAGAACTTTTGGTGGAAAAAGGGGTCTAACCTCAAATTTTATTTTGATCCTGAAATTTTTTTTATTAGCGCCATTCGATAGTATACGTCGAGCTTTCTCAGTGTTTGAAATATTTGCACTTATTTCAATGCCACCCTGTATATTATTTCATGGGCGTAGAACTTGATTTTTCCAGTAAATAAACATCTAACACTTCTACGCCAATGGAAAGAAAGGGGTTTGAATATGAAATTTGAATTGCGTAACTTGTTTACTACAAAAAAGGTACCCTTGATAAAATTCGATTACTCTCATGGCCTCGAAAATATTTGAATTGTCGAAAAATATGCATAAAAAATATTTTCAGCAATATTTAATGTAGTCCCACCCTGTTTTATACACTCCTGAATCACATGGAGTTTCGGAAATACTCAAGAAATATCATCCTCAGGAGCCCCCTTTCAGGGGGCCGTAGCTCTCTCAGGATATAGTATTCTTTCTATTTTTGGTCGTAAAAGCCGCTGGTGAAGTTTGGCATGCTAATTTCGGGACACCCTGTATAGGTGCCAAAGGAGGTGTTCTCAGAGGCATATAACCTCCAGAAATGCAAGAAGATCACCAATTCCTACTTTATTTCCTTTGGTTCTCACGATGTTCTATGAACATTACAGGATATCCCTTTTCGTGGGAACCAGAACATGAAAAAAAATATCCGGGAAAAGAGTTCTCACTTTTTTCTCATGGGAAAAATGTAATTTATAAAAAGTGACAGTTTATGGCCTGTCAATAGAGATGAAATTTCAAACATTTTTCCCGTCACAGAAAAAAACAGTCTTTCGTTTGTTACAGTTCCGGCAAAACGAGTAACAACGGATCAGTCAACACCAGTGCATACGCCTGATAGGTGAGTTATTTTTTTTATGATAATCATAATAGTGATGATAATGATGATAATATTGTGTACTATTCAACCTGAATCTTTTCATCAACTGTAGAACGTTCGAAGTAAAAAATTAATGTTTTGTCTCATTTTCTCTTTAGAGCAATAATTTTCATGATAAATCCCCGTCAAAAATCATGCTTGAAAAGATTATTCCTTATTTCTATTTATACTGAAACCATAGATCTAAATATGTATTTAGATCTATGCTGAAACCTAAAGTGCAGGATTCAAAGCATGTCGACACAAACTATAACAAAGCTAAGTAGTCTGAGGCCTTGTTTCTATCTACTTACTTATGTTATTATAATTATCTGTCAAGTATGTCACATTGGTGGTAACTTCAATTTTATTCATTTTAGTTAGGTGTTAATTCTTTCTGTTCAGGGACGTAGCAAGTCGAAACAGGGCCCTGGTGCAAGACCACAGCGGGCCCCCTTCATTATGACAGGAAATAGTTCAAATAACAATTATTATATTGCACGAAAAAAATCATGGTCGTTACTATAATAATAGGCCTTTTCATCTAGATGACAAATGACTATCTCTGTTTACATCTCGCATCCAACGACAGTGGCGGCCATTTTCACCGAAACACTACCACACTCCTCAGTAACGAATAAGTAACGTTTTTTGGAATTAACTTATTATAATACAATTAATACACACCAGGAATATAAAAACAAGAATACTATGTTGTTATTGTTGTTTCTCAATGACGAATGCCCATGGTGGTTGACACTGTTGACATTTGACAGAACGTCAAAATAATACCCGCCATATTCGAAATGGCCAATCAGCATTTTGTGTTGGAACTATAGCCAATGAGACTTCACCGTCGCATTACCCAATGAATTGTTGGATCTAAAATCGAGCGCATGCGTCTTAAAAATATATCTAGATGAAAAGGCCTATTGTAGGAGGTTACATATGCTCGTAATAAACTTTAGAATGTTACTAATAACTGATGTTACGAAAATACAAAACTAATGCTAATCGAACTATTAATGCTGCAAAAAGTCTACTTTTCTTACCTTTCAATTGGCAAACAATGCAATTATTCTATTTATATCTCAAAGTCCTGGCTGTCATATTTTGTATTGACAAAATAGCCAAGCTAGAAACTCTGCTTTACGACATTTCATTTCTCAAATTTTCATTCAATCTTAAGATTGGAAATATCTCTCCGAACTTGCTGAGACATGAAGTGTTTCAAAAATAATGAAAAAACAGCATATTGTCACGACCCATGGCTACAGGGTGGTGACTCGGGGGTGAACTCGCTTGGGAGGCCGAGAAATCAAAACAGTTGTTCGTTATTAAGCTACAGTTTATTGAAAGAAATTAGTTTCATTAGTGATTTTAACAAACGAGATTCAATGCAAACGTAAATACATCAGACTTCGCAATGAAAAGAAACATTTAATAGTTTGACAACATAACGATTGTGACAGTAGTACTTACAAAATAATCTGTAGCAGATGCAGGGGATGAACCATAGTGAAGGTTAGCTGATCAGATCCAAACTGATGCCTTGCCTTATCGGCTGTTCGATATTTATTTAGAATATTTTGATATAGTCAGCGTTTTACTCCATATGCGGGTATTTCATTCCGGTTGAATGAGCTGCCAACGTGAGTGAAACATTATACTCGTTTCCTTTAATCGAATGTTATACGATAAAATGAATAATGAACTTTTATTAATGAATCTTGAATCAATATAATTTTGAATAGTAGCTATGAATATTTTTGGTTCCTATCGTGACAATATATTTCTTTGAGTGAGCTAGAGATAATTTTTTATTGCAAATAACTGCAATGTAATACATAATAAAGTTGGGTGAATGATAATGATATCATGTAAATAGGATCACAACGGTGCCACTATGTATAATAAAACTACTCAAATTGTTATATATTGAAGAGAGTTGTTAGATACTAAATCTGTCTTGCATTCCGGACAGCCACCTGGCCCTTTTGAGGTACCCCCTACTGCTACGTCCCTGTTTCTGGTGTAGAAAAAATATCATGTTTCATTCGGATCAAAAATGATTTTGTTTGACTCGCAATTTTTGCGTTTGCGTTGCGAAGCGTTAGCTAAGCCGAGTGTCACCCTTGATCCTAATAAAACAATCTACTATTTCTTGCTGAAATTCCGAGATTAGTTAGCGAATTTCAAATTCTAACGTCCCTCAAACGGTGACAGATAGATAGGATATACGAAATTGGCCGATCCCGGCTATAATTGAGGCAGTAAAGATCGCCAGTATACGAGCCGGGGCGGTGCTAAATATGCGGGGCGAACGGCGATGTCTGGTCGACCTGCACTCGCTGGCCCCCGTTTCGGACATGTTTACCAACGACGATCGTCATAAACACGGGTTTCCGGTCCGTTTAAAGGGCCACCCCCGGTCTCGATTTGTGTTATGCGTCGCGTGATTTGGTGCTGCGGACAGGAGCGTCGTTTCAGTGTACACCATGGGGTACAATTCAAATTGAAATTCAGATTTTTCCAGACTGTCAACGACATCATCTCATAATGGGGAAGTTTCTAATATTGATGTTTTCATCTCACTGTGAAGTTTATAAAAATTGAACATAATAATATACTCTCTGGTAGAAGTCCAACATTTCTCAACTGTCATTGTCGGTCTCTTGTCAGTTGTCTGTGCTACATTGACATCCTGTCAACATACCTGTCAGTGTCTGTTAAGTCATGGGATTTCCGACCTCCACTACTTGCTGATTGCTACTCAAGTGGTCAAAATGGCAGTCAATTTAAATTTTTTCAAAAATGTTTTCTTTATTATCCCGGTGGCCCTAATGCTACGGGACCGGCTCGTGTTTGACCCACCATAAACCATGATGCAGGGGTTTTATAAATTTTTTCCCCTTCACATTTAAAAAAAATATATTTTAATAATGTTCTGATACTATATGTGTAACTTATTTCTTCATTTTCAATGTAATTGCAGCTAATTTTTTCACCCTCATGTAAGCGATTGTATGGTAAGAATTCCACTTTAGACTCATTTTTGTCTCTTGTAGGACTAATTTCTTATAGGCTGATGATGGATATATGTATGTCCGAAAACATGTTCCCTCTGATGTGACATTGTTCACATAGTAAACTGTCGTGGAGATGATTTTGAGTTTTATTTAGTTATTATAATGATAAAAATAAACGTATATTGAATAGTTTATCAACTGTATTATATTATGATATAATTGGAAATATCGGGGAGTTCAGTCAATCGGGCTACAAGCAAACTACTTTATTGCTATGCCAAGCTTTCGAACAATTTTATCTTCTTCTTCAAGGCCTAAACAATATATGGTATATGAAACATTTTGTAACAATACGATTCAACAAAAACAAGAATTTCCTTGCGATGTGAGTTAAAAGGTATACCACATTGGAGTAATAATGAGTATAAAAAATATAGATGATGTATACATGAAATTGATAGGACAATGACAATAGTCATATAATTTATATACAGAAAGAAATGAAATTATGAAATTAGATTTTTGTTGAATATCTTATAAGGTAGTCATTTTGAATATCAACATGAACAAAAGATGATAAATAAGAATATATCTGACTGAGATTATCAATATCTGTTTTCTTATTTCTAGTATATTTCTCGTTATTAATTTCAACCATCTCTAAAAACAGTCTTTTTGTTAAATTTTTGCCGGAATGCAAAATGTTGGTTTACTTCGAATTCCATATGATAAGTTTTCGAATATGCATAATTATTATCATTAATGATGTTTGACTTTGTTAAAAATATGGTTTGCGAAATTTTAAAGTTAAGCTTTCAATTGTAAACAACTTTTCTCAATAACATTTTGCTGAATTTTCTGAAATAAGGGTACTTTACTCTTGAGCGATTTATATATTTTTTGACCTACCCTGTATGCTGTTTGACTTGCAACCATTCTGAGTGCACCTAAAATGATCACCGAACATGCACCAACTTTCGGCACTATCTGAATTTTGGGTGTGCAATTCAATAAGAAGATTCCCATATGTTGCACACTCGAATGACCACACTGTATATTCGAAAAAAAAACATCGATGGCGTCATCATGCTCACAAAGATGACGTCACAATTTAAAAAGTAATCTCACGGAATGCGCGTTCGCAAATGGAACCCGATGGGTTTCTGGATATTTCACTAAAGTCACTGATTAATGATGATGATTGGTTTCCTTTCATCTGAAACATACTGTATAATATGCACTCCTTGTTCCAGAAAATATTCAGCTAATAACTCTGAAACGCCAGGGTCGGCACGACGAGTTTTGGGCAGCATCGAAAGATCCTTCCACAGGGTGGTGAATGTGCTGACACCCAGAAAGAATGAAGACTCGGTCAACGTCAGGCCGTCTTTACTTACGAATAAAGTGAGCATTTCTATCGTTATTTGTTGGTGACCAATAGCTATTTGTATTACAAGGGAGGAAAGTGCTACTTTTTCTCCCGAGCGGAGCGTAGTAATCATTCGAGGGAGGAAATGGCACTTTACCCCCATGTTACACATATTATTTTTCCTCCTTCCTCAAAATAACAAGGTATTTTTGGATTATATTCCTTGTACAATTTCAAGTCGGAAGTGCCTTATATAATTTTATCAAGGACTATAGTCGAGGAGTAATGAGCAATATTATATTTAACAGGGTGTGTAGAATGAGGTGAAGAGAATGTTGAATGAAGTAATGTAATATTTAATCAATTGTGATTCCATTGCACTTTATACTTGAAGTTGTTCAAGGAATATGTCCTCAAGCTATGGGCTTCGAGTCACGGGACACCCTGTATAAACTAACAAACGAAATCCATTCAAGAACTAAAACTGAAAACTAGGTGCAGTATAACTTATGAGCACGATATTTTCTTCATTCTTGTATCGCAGATACAGGATGATCAGAATTCTAAATCTTGAACCATGTAGATTGTGAATCAAAAGTTAAGATGAGGGCATGTAAACTGTTTTGGACAATAATAAATAAATTCGACACAAAAAAATTCTTAATTTGAAAAATTTCGATTTTGAACACCCTATATCTCTGTAATCGTTTCGGCTAGACGTGTGATGAATTGATGAAATCAGCTTTTCAGGGAGAATCTGAAAATGCAATGATTTGAAGGGTATTCCATTTAAAATCTAAAAATGCAATGAATGCAGGGTATTCCATTCGAAAAATACAAACTTTGATACATATCGTGTTTTTGGCTGACCCTGTACAACATGAAAATATTTTTAAAATGTAGCCACATAACTTTGAACTTTGACATGCATATTTTTTAGGAGCTCTGTAATGTTTCCACAACACAGTATCACGATCCAGAGTTCGTTATCAGTGAGTTGTCAAGAGCTCTGGAAAAGAAAGGGATATGCTGCAAGAGGAAAGGGTGAGTTCTTGTCTATAATCGATTTGGTATGACATATTCCTCAAGTGCACTTTATATGAAGTACCTACGTAACTTGGAATCAGTCATTAGAGTAAGTTATGACGATATTTATTTTTCACGATCGTTCGTGCATCTCCTATAACCCAAAACTCGATTCTGATATACGTCATGTGACCACTGGTATGGCGTCAAATTGAAAACTATTACTACGGAGTCGCGTAAAATTTGGTTAGATGAGGCAACGAAAAACATATATTTGTAAAAGTTGCAATACCAGGTTTATCATTCATACACCTACCTACTAAACAAAATTGGAAATAGCTTTTTCTGTGACAGGAAAAAAGTTTGCAAATTCATCTCTGTTGACAGGTTATAAAATGTCACTTTTCATAAATTACTTCGTTTCTGGATATATATCACTTATATATACACTGTTGGTGGCTTTTGTTGTGCTATAGTTCCGAAAAATAAACCATCAACACCGTCTAATTGCAAGTCCGTTTATCTTCCATTCGACTTCGCGTTTAAGTAAATTACTAAGCAACCACTAAATTTGCAATTTCTTGAAATGTAACGCAGGTGTCATTCCTGTTAAAAACTTCAAATTTCACATCGATCATTTTCTGATATCAATGTAATTTAATATCTTGTCAATATTGGTTCGTCCTTTTTTCTGTCACAGAAAAAATAGGGTATTTATTATACACAGAAAAAATATTAGATTTTAACTCACCTGGAGCTAAAGTTTACTGCTTGTTTCCTTGTATAATAAATAACTATTTCTCAAATCAGTTTGGAAATATCTGATTTGTTCCTTCTAAATAGCTTGAGTGGAGTGGGACCTCAACATTATGATAGAAGTCGAAGAAATTTCTCGTTTTTTTTTTAGACAGGACTAAACTTGAAAAATGTGGTATTGGCTGAAACCTTTTTTCGTATCTAGCAGTTAGTAGGTTAGTGTTTCGAGTTATATTCAAGTCAATGTGTGTTAGATTTTACCATTTGCGAAAATATGCCAAGAGCCATTATAATGTGAGACTCATTTATAGAAACTCTATATCTTAAAATTGAACTGGGTCTACAGCTCCTCGATAATTACATTATTTTTTTCGGGTACTCTACCGCGTTAGGTAGGTACTTTGTCAGTACCACTTGTGTATTCAACAAAATCGAATTACATCGATAATATTAAGCTTGTTGAAATACTCCTTATTATATTATTTGCCGCACGAGTTTCAAATTCGTATTGTTGAACTCTGGAAGTCCCCTTAGTAGTAATGGTCTTTGGCCTAATTTGACTGCTCAGTCCATGTTCAAGGTGAGTGTTTACAATTTGTGGATATAATTCAACGTTACTTCCAGAATGTTTTAATAGGTTATCATTCACATTTGACTGTATTTTTTCATAATAACCTATCTTAAAGATCACAAAATCCAATACCCATTATGAAGTTATGAAAGAAATACCCTTGAATTACCTCCGAAGAATACAGATTGCTACTATGTTCGAATTGTTTAATATGATTATTTTCTTCATGGATTAAGATACTTAACAGACGTAAATTGCACATGGTTTGTAGCTACTACAAAGTGCTTAAAACAAAAAAGCCGGAATACCTGTATTATAAAATCTCTTTCAGAAGTGATATTCATAACTTGAATATTCGTCACTCTAGTCTCATTACTGTGCCTAGACATAGGAAAGAAATTTATAAAAAAAATGTTTCTCACAACATCTCCCATCATATTAATGCTCTTCGTGTCACAGATTTCAGTTGTTCGCTTAAATCATTCAAAAGTATGGCAACGAAACAACTGCTTCAACTCCGTGCATACTTGTCTCTTTCCTCCTTTTCCTTCTTTTCCCTCTTTTCCTCTCTTACTCCTCTTCTTAACTCTTCATATACTAATGCTCTCAGGTTTTCTAGCCGTTAGATTTATAGTTTATTGTTGGGTTTAGGTCTGGCCAGAATAGAAGAACAGTTTCAATCTACTGGGTAGAATGTAACTGAACTCTGGCCATTTATTCACCACATTAAGTATGGTAAACCTACAACCTCATACTTGTCATGGTTTCTGGGGAATAATAAACTTATTATCATTTTTAGTATTATTATTATTATTTACAGAATAATCCTCCCGCTTCGCAGTCGGTTTTTTTCAACTGTTTAAATGACACTCTTTGTTATAATTATGCAACAAGTTGCGATGAATATTTTGAAATACTTATAGTATTACTATTGATTATAGATATCGTGAAATCATTCAATATACTTTATTGGCTGTTTTATGGTAAACGTTCTCATTACGATTGTTCATTTGCCTCCTCTTTTTTTATTGTAAAAAACCTTTCGAGGAAATGTTCCACTGATTAGGATAATGATGGCAACAAGAATAACTTCCACTTCCGGAGCAGGTAAAATTATATATTACCTAAAAATGCTGATTTCAATCTTCAAATGAGTCATTGATCCCTAATTAGCAATTATTCATTGTACATTCTTCAGACTTCTTTCGTCGAATCCCCATTTATCTTTACGAGTTCGCAGATAAACTATAACAATTCCGCTAACACACAAATATACAAGGTGATCCAGGAATTCACACAATCGGATTTTTCTGTTACGTTTTGCATGAAAACAATGTTGAATAGGTGAATTTTGCTCTTCTAATCACGATATTTTTCAAGTGCCATATATGTCTGTCACTTATTGAACCAAAGAAAAATATTTTGACTTATCCTAACGATCAGCAATACATCAGCGATACATCACTGTTTCGGCATATCAGGGCTCATCAGTCACTCTCAGTCTGCTGGCAATTGGAATGGCTCAAAGCTTCGGTTTCATCACCCTTGTCGAAGATACTGGATTATATGATAAACATGATGATCTAGTGATGTTTTCACGTCTAGTGGCTAAGGTCAAAGGTAGGATCATTGGATCTCCACTACACAGTGAATCTTTTTATGAATTAGATCTGTCGGAGAAATATTCACAAATCGAATGTTATTTTAATTAGTTCGTAGTACGAACCTCACTCAAAGCAGCAATTTATTATATTCAAAACATTAACGAGTGACTTATTTCATGACATCAACATGATGAATTAATGAAAGTTAGAAACTACTGTTAGTTCAGTCATTGGGGATCCAAAATAAGGCTTACCTGGAAAAAAGTCCGGAAGTTTTGAAACTTTGTAGGATTATAGTTTTGGGTGTCCAGAACTCAAATTCACAAAATGCACATTCCGGGACATGCCGCCGGCGCCGCCATCTTGCCAAGATGGCGCTCAAAAACGGTTTTTTGAAAATATCTCCAAAACTGTGCGTTTTTAGAAAAAATATGAAGACATAAAAATTTAAGATGAAGAAATTTTCTACAAGAAATGTTCCGAGCATATTTCTGCTAAAGAAAGCCGTTTAGGCTCAAGAGCTGATTGAATGACAACATATTCTGTTAATTTCTATAAACTGCCCCTAACTATCTCCATATATGCGTATAAATTCATATTTTATTATAAAACGGGCTATTCCTCGTTATAGTGGACGATTTTTAGATCAATTATGCGACAAAAATTTTGCATTTGTGACTTGCGATTATTTGGGCGATATAAAAATTGCATTATCGACGAATCTGTCGACTTTGCTCCAGAAGTATGTGGGTGCAGGATGGTTATGAGTAAATTTCGTATCTATACTATGTATCCGTAGACATAGGTTCCTTCTCGTACTATAAAACCGCCCATAAATTCATAGAAATTTGAAATTTTGCTTTCGTGTCTTTACCACTCCATCCCAATATGAGTAAATACACAAAATATATATTTCAGATGAGATGTTTTTATAAACGGTAAAAACACAAGAACTTTTTCATCAACTAAATTACCTTTCCTAACGAACACAATTTGCCAATCAGTAATTTTACGAGAAAAACGGACATGAAAAAATTGCGAGACCGTATTTAACCAAGGAGAAATGAAGTTTCTAACAACATTAGAAAAACATGAAGAGTTACAAGATCATATTGAAGTTTTTAAAAATGAACATGCCATCCCTGATCAAGTTGCCTTTGCCGGTGAGAAATTTTTCCTTGCACTCTATGGATTCAAAGACACAAATTACACCAATCTTGATAAATATCTATACCAGTGGTTCGTGAAGTCGGTAACAAAAAGTAAATTCAATTTGGCATCTTTACCACCGACAAGCGCAGCTGCACGACAGCATTCGTTGAGAACGTACTATCAGGTTCAACTATGGCGTGGTTGTCCGAAAGTAGTTGAAGAATGGGGTTGGAAAAAAACACAAACTGGCCTCACTCCAATAACTACTTTGAAAGATCCTGCTTCCAAAACACTACTTGCTTTTTTTATCTTGTAAGTGCAAGGCGGCTTGTGGTAGAGCCTGCGAATGCAGGAAAGCAGGATTGCGATGTTCGATGATTTGCGGTGTCTGCAACGGGAAAACTTGTGAAAATATCAGCCAAGTGACACTGGACGAATCCGATGAAGAAGACCTCCATTCGCTGCATGATGATTCTTTATCGACTGCAGAAGAAGAATCCGACGAGTTGAAGGAAATTAACATCGATTCTGGAGCTAAGGTAACCAGTTTCCCCGTTGAATATATCGAAATCGACGAGCCAGGTCCGTCTGGCCTTTGCCAAAAATAATTTCAGTACCTGAGTGGATTAGGACTACAGGGGAAACCACGTTAAAAAAACGCGCCGTGTACTTAGCCTCTTGGGTGGTGTGGAAACAAGTACAGCATTTAAAATCGAAATTGATTGATCATAAATTATTAACATGGATTAATTGATGAATTCATCGATTAATTGAATAATGGATATCCACCGTTTCGTGATAAATATTTTTAAAGTCGTTAAATATCAGATTTGGGGACCCCTAATACACAATCATATTATTTCCGAAACTCGCCACTACAGAAAAAAACATTTTTAATTTGGTAAGGGCACTTGTGCCTTAACGAGGGTACTTTA